GTATTCTTGACAGTTTACTAAATGTCGTTTAGTTGCAACTTGCAAGGTGCAGTGTGAATTCTAGTGTGATCATGGAAAATTTGGAAGGGCCGCGTAAACAACAAAAAATCGGTCCTTTAACAGTTAATAAAAAAACATTAATATTTAATTGTTTTAAATCATTTACAGACAAACATTTATGTAAAAGTGTTGATGACACAGTGGAATTAGTAGTACGCTTGGTGTTGGGAAATCTACGATTTACATAGTTGTTAAAGAAGAGAAATGTGGCGAGTTTCAAACAGCACGTAAAGCTCCAGGAAAGCCAAAATTTCAATTAGAAAATCTTTTGAAAGAAAGAGTTCGAAGAAAAGTGCATACATTCTTATTTAGAAAAGAATTTCCGACAGTAGACAAAGTTCTTGCCACGGTTAGAGATGATAAGGATTACCCTGAAATGAGTCGAAGCACACTATGGAAACTTTTAAAAGAAATAGGTTTTCTATGGAAAAAGCATTCCAGAAAGTCTATTTTAATAGAAAAAAGCGATATTGTAGTATGGAGAAGAAATTACCTAAGGACTATAAAAGAAATGAGAAACCAAAGAAGAAATATATTTTATTTAGATGAAACATGGATCAACGAGGGACATAAACCAAATAAATTTTGGCAAGATGAAACTGTTACAAGTCGAAGACAGGCTTTTTTAAATAATTTATCTACTGGTTTAAATCCACCATCAGGAAAGGGGCGCAGACTAATAATAGTACACATCGGTAGTTCAAACGGTTTTGTTAAAGGTGGTTTATTGACTTTTGAATCTACTCGTACCGGTGACTACCATGAGGACATATGAATGCTGATGTCTTTAAAGAGTGTTTCGAACAAATTATAGATCTTCTTCCTCAGAACTGTATAATAGTAATGGATAATGCAAGTTATCACTCGAGAAAAAATGCCCACAACCAAGTGGTTAAAAAAAGATTTACAGGATTGGCTAAATTCAAAGAATATTAAGCTCCATCACGGTTCTGTGAGAAAAAAAACTGTATCATTTATGTTCCCATCATAAAGAGAAATTCAAAAAATATGAAATTAATGAAATTGCAAAAAATCGTGGGATGACGGTGGTTAGATCACCACCATATCATTACGAAGTAAACCCGATTGAACTGATATGGGCACAGATAAAGGGAGAAGTTTCAAAAGAAAATAATTCTTTTAAAATGAGTGATGTTAAACAGTTGTTTTTGGAGGCTGTAAATAATGTGAAGCCTGAAAACTGGGAAAAGGCAGTAAATCATACGATTAAAGAAGAAGAGAAAATGTGGAAGTTGAACAATATTACTGATGAAATGATCGAGCCACTCATTGTAAATATTGGTTGCGACAGCTCATCTTCTGATTTGGATTTGTAGGTAAGAAGTAGTTTTTATATTAAAATTATTATTTATGAACGTAACGTTGTTTAAAAGTCAAAGTTTAAACCCTTATACCTACATAACTCGTTTGACACAATGTTCTTAACATACCTTGTGGAAAAATAAAACATTTTAGAAAAAATTGTACTCTTTTACCTTCAGCTGTTTAGAAGTTATAAGCAGGTTAATTAGGTGAAAATATAAGTGTATACTCGAGGAATAACTTCAAAAAATATTTTAACTGTCTACTAAAAGAAGTGATACGCCTATGAATTACGAACGCTTAATTATTTTAATACTTTCTCATACATAAAAATAGACTATAGACTGAGGTTCTTTCCATTGTTATCGACGTTCCTCTTTCCTCTTATTGTTGACTAAGCTATACGACATACTCTAAACTAAACTCTAAACAACAGCGATCTAAAAAGGTCGCAGTGAACAAGGATAATGTCCAACTCGTTTTAAATCTAATCTAATATATTTCGTACTAACAATAAATAATGCAAAAGTATCAATAATTGTCATGGAGTAACTATTATAAAAATGCATTAAAACAATATTTGTTTATAAATAATCTCGTGTTTTTAAGAAAAATGAAATACTGTACATGTCTTTGAGCATTGTTTAATGATGAATTAGATGGTAGGTATATATCTCTATGGCTATACTATCACCTCCTGCGTTAGCATTTATATCACGAAAGTATTAATAAAATAAATAATCTTTACATGCCCATATACAAAGCCTGACTTTAATTATTAAAAGAAAACTAATTTTTCTTAACAATCACCATGCAAGTTTCGTTGATGCTTACTGTTCGTACATACTAAAGAACATAACATATTTTTTACATTTTCTAAATAAGTGGCCTGCGACTTATCCAGATATAAGTCCCCTTAAGTTTATACAGGGTGTATCAACGATGCGTGGGGTGAACGATAGCTGCTTCCCTATATGAGATAGGAAAAAATGCTTCAAATAAAAGTTGTAGAGGGCATTGAAAGCTACGTTCCAAAAATAACTACCAATATACAGGGTGTCCGATAAATGTATGAGTTATCGAAGTAATGTTTTTTTAAAGGAAACACCCTATATATTTTTACTCGATTAAATTTCTTTGGAAAAGTGTTTCTCAAAATTATAGGGTTGTATGGGTTTATACTGGGTGGTTAGGAATTTATGGTGGGATTTAGGTAACAAAATGGGTTTATTCAACATCAAATATCTCTAAATCAATAATTTGGAATAAATTTTTTTATGCCGAATATTCTCGAAAATAGTGTATTTTCATTTCCTATTCATAATTTTACCGAATGGTGCTTTTCCCATACAGGGGCAACCAAAACTCGGGACTACTTTTTTCTCAGTTTTTTCAAATGGAACACCCTGTAAATGAGGCCATACCAGGATAGCCCATACCATGAGCTTTCAGAAAATGTAGGGTTTGCCTACTTGATTTTTATCGGAAATGTATCTAATTCTTAAGGAAAGTATAAAAAAGTTATAAAAGCAATAACTATTTATTTATTTCATTCGAAAAAGCATAAATTCACATCAAATGTTCGAATAATCTCTCATTTTGAGCTATGCACAAATTAAGTCTATCTACATTTGCTCTTCTAACTTCAATTAAAGTTGATTTTGTAATAGAGTGAAAAACTTCTCTAATTCTATTCTTTATGTCTTCTGGAGTCGTTGGTTTTTCGCGTTAGACCTCTCCTTTAACATATCCCCAGAAATAGAAATCTAGAGGCGTGAGGTCTGGAGACCTTGCTGGCCACTGAATGGGTCCGTTTCTTCCTATCCATTTATTACTGCGCCATCTGTTTAAAAACCATCTTACCTGATTTTGATTGTGGGGAGGCGCGCCATCATGTTGGTAATATAACCTGAGTCTGGTGTCATAGGTACATCCTCCAACAAAATTGGTAAATGATCTCGAAGGAAATCTCTGTAAATTTCCCCATTCAGTGGACCATCAAAGAAATGTGGTCCTACGACCTGATCCCCAATTATGCTCCCCCAAACATTTTTCGACCATCTATTTTGGTAATCAATTTCTCTAACCTAATTTGGATTCTCTGTTGAGTAGTAGTGGCAATTGTGTCTATTTACTATTCCATTACTTTTAAATGTTGACTCGTCACTAAACAAAATGTATTTTAGAAAATTTGGTTCCTCGCAAATGAAATTTAATATATTTTCGCAATAGCGAACTCTGGTGTCATAATCCCTTTCATAAAGTTCTTGATGTAATTCAATTCGGTATGGATAAAGTTTATTTTTTATCAATATTCTGTTCACGGAAGTGTGACTTATATCCAGCTCTCTTGCAATTTCCCTCGTACTAACATGAGGATTCTCTACTGTTGAAAGGATCACTGCTAATTCATTTTCTTCATTTGTTGCAATTTTGTTTACTACTTGCCTTTTTTCGTGCTTGACATTGCCTGTTTCGTCAAATCTTTCTTTAATCCTCCGAAAAGTCTCTGGTCGTATAGACCTTGAATCAGGTTATCGAACTGCATACATTCTACTGGCTAATAAACAATTTCTATCACACTCGCCCAAAATGTAGATCATATTTATCATTTCTTCGGTGGATAATTTCATTTTGAAGCGAAAAATTATTAAATTTCAACTATAAATTATTCTCCTCCTCGATAATTAAATGTCAAATTCCTATAACGTTCAAATTTTTCAAGGGTGATTTGATTTTTCGCTGTATTACAAGATCAACTTTAATGAAAGTTCGAAGAGCAATTGTAGATATGATTAATTCGGGCATAGCTTAAAATGTGAGATTGTTTAAACATTTGCTGTGAATATACGCTTTTTTAAATAATTGTTCGTTTATAATAAATAAATAGTTATTGCTTTTATAACTTTTTTATACTTTCCTTAAGAATTAGATACATTTCCGATAAAAATCAAGTAGGCAAACCCTACATTTTCTGAAAGCTCATAGCATGGGCTATCTTGGTATGGCCTCATTTACAGGGTGTTCCATTTGAAAAAACTGAGAAAAAAGTGGTCCCGAGTTTTGGTTGCCCCTGTATGGGAAAAGCGCCATTAGGTAAAATTATTAATAGGAAATGAACATACACTATTTTCGAGAATAGTCAACAGAAAAAAAAAATTATTCCAAATTATTGATTTAGAGATATTTGATGTTGAATAAACCCATTTTGTTACCTAAATCCCACCATAAATTCTTAACCACCCAGTATAAACCCATACAACTCTATATTTTTGAGAAACACTCTTCCAAAGAAATTTAATCGAGTAAAAATTTATAGGGTGTTTCCTTTAAAAAAACATTACTTCGATAACTCATACATTTATCGGACACCCTGGATATTGGTAGTTATTTTTGGAACGTAGCTTTCAATGCCCTCTACAACTTTTATTTGAAGCATTTTTTCCTATCTCATATAGGGAAGCAGCTATCGTTCACCCACGCATCGTTGATACACCCTGTATACTATTACATACAAGAGCACGCATTTCAAGCAAATTAATTAAAAGTTTTACCTTGTCTAAAAATTGACTAAAAACAGTAACCAATATTTTAATTTTTAATTTTTCTTTATGTAGGTAAATCTAAATCCAGCGCTGCAACCCAGGGAACTTGAATACTATATGAAGACGTTACAAATTAGTTGCATAGTATGCGTGGATAAATACAAAAGTTTTAATATTTTGGACACAATAAAGAAAATTGTACCTGAACTTGGAGAATCTAGTTCTGAAGTAGTCGACTCCAAAAGTGTGCCTTCGTTGAAGCTTGTAATTGTGATATCTGATGAGCAATATAGGTAAGTATCACTTATTTTAATTATTATCTCAAACTTTTTAATTGGAACATGTACATTTTTCTCCTTGTACCGCCCTGTGTTGTGTCATTATAATATCAATTCTATTAAACTTCATATCATTACTAACAGTAATCCAAGGTGTTTTTAGCCTACCTCTCTTAATTCTTCCATGCAATGATACTACCTTTCGAGTTTTCTTTCTACTTCCTCTCTGGATATTTCACCTGTATTCTTAACCTCTAGACTACCACCTTTGTGAATCTGTTTGTCCATTGTAGAATCATGATCTTGGCAATGCGTATTTTCTGCTCGTAGTTCTTATTTATTGCGATACATTGTTTCTAACTATTATTTACCATCCAAATCGTTGCCATTTAACTCTTGTCTAGTGAAACTCCTACCTTTTCGCGAATACCTTTGGTTCCAAACATCTAAGTTTGTAACATTCATTTATATGTTTACCCATTTTTTTTTCTTTTTAATTACTACTTTCCACCTCCTGCTTATAATTTTGACTGTTACATCATGACATTGTTCTTCTAGGATTTAAATACTTTAAGTTGATTTTAGAAAAAAAAAACTATAGAAACGATCTTAAGTTCTGAAATATATTGCAAAACATTAGATCCAGTAAGAGTTGTGTTTCTAAATTGTATCTTATTCCCTAAAAAAAGAGCGAAGACTTTTTATAGTGAGCTCATCTCATTTTAGTGAATTCAGATAAAATTGTTTTTTAAGTCTTTGAAGGTCTCGGCTGTTGATTCTCCAACTTATGTTATTAATCATAAATGCGAGTAACAGATTTTAGTCAATTTTATTTTTAATTATTTATATTATTCAGTTTTTACCCCAACTGTGTTTATTTTTAAGCATTTAAATGCTTTCAATATTTTATTAGTTTTACTAATCTTAAATTGCCCATTTATTTTTTAAATAAATTTAAAGGCATAATACTTACCTCGGTTCCGGTATCTAATTTGACCTTACACGTTTTGTTTTCGAATTTAATAAGCTCTTCCCAAATACCTTTACCTTTTTCAAATTCTACATTTTTAATATAAGTGATATTTACTACATATATTTCATTATTACTTGAACAGCTAATCTGACCATCATATATTTCATCGAGATTTTTAACATTTTTTCTTTTCTTTATTTTATTTATTTCATTGTGGTTTTCACTTTCGGTTTGTAATTGCATTTCTTGATTTTGTATTTTACTTTTTCACTTGTTAGGCATATAGTAATAAAGTTGGTTTTTCTATTCTTAAGGACGGGTTATCCCTGTGTATTAAAATTGTATGTGTAGACCAAAAGTTAAATCGACAGTTTTTCGAATATGTAAGTTTAAAAATCTAATTTTTGGCAAAATTAAAAATAAAGGTCTAACTTAGGTCACCTTACTATTGAAAATTAATAAATTTATTATTTTCAATAAAAACCAATCATGTAAAATAACCCCCTTTTATTTCATCTCAAAGGTGCCGTGTAGAATTATTTTAACCTCGATGTCAAACAAATAATAAAAAAAAAATGTAATACGACCTAAGTTCAACCTTTACTTGGAATTTGGTACACTCAGAATATTTAAATATTGTATATTTTTCAAAACGTGTAGATTTAAAATTTATAAGTCACTTCCTTTGAAAAAACATGTCAAAACGAATTTGGACCAAAAATGGCGTCTAATTTAACTCTAAATAAACCCCGAAAAATCAATAATTACTTCATGTAATGTAATAAAGATGGTGCTCCGATCGATAATATTTTGACTAGTATTTGATTATTTCCGTTTATATTATGTGTGTTTACGGGGGATATACGAGATTATAATACTGCCTCTAATACTGTTTATATGATACAATTGGAAACGACCTTTTTTCATCGGCACTCTTTTTTCTGACCTTTTGACACGCGCCTATTTGTTATATGATGTATGATTATCGGTTATTTATCAACTAAAAGAATAGGAAATTAGTACATTGTGAATGATAATATCATTTTAATGCTATTTTTGAAACTAGTTCAAAAGTTGCATTTAACGATAGGTACTCAATGTTTCATTTTACCGTCAGTTTTAGTTTGACATATCCGGCATTTTATGTTTACAAAGCTCAGTTTCTATTCGAAAGTAAGAGAAACAGTCAATATAAAATGCGAAAAACACTTTTTATCAATTTCGTTTATGTCAACTGAAAGCGACAATTGCTGAAGACGTAACAAATAAATTAGGTCGAGAAATAAAAAAATCTATACTATAAGTAACATACCATATATTATGCCTGTTAAAATAAATCAAAAATAAGAGATCATATCGTTGACGTATATACTTTTCCATCTGTATTTAGTGATTACCAATTGCAAATTACGTATGAACATGCTTCTGCGCAAAAAAAACCAATATTTCAAGTACTTGTATCATTAAAGTCCATTAAATTATTATTTTTATAAATTTGCTAATCTTTGCACTTTAAGTTTCATTATATGGGGTATCCAGACATTTTAATCCTCGTCCTCTTCTATTTAAAATTATCTCAGGTGCCATATATTCCGAGTAAAATTTTTCTAATTTTTCAACCATATTTTAAAAAAAAAAATGGGTTGAAAATGAATTTTTTCAACAAATAGTGAATTTTCATCTCCAGTATATACTACAAAGTAGCACAATTTTCTTTGAGCTATACCTAGCTGTCCTTGAATCTAAAAGTATATAAAATCATTATTAGAAAATCAAACATAAAAATAATATTAATATTGTAGTATCATTTCTAGCACATTTCTTAAAAATCATGAATTATTTTAACATATTGAAATTTTTCACTTGGTAAAAGTAGTTATGGTTTTCTTTTAAATTAATGTCACCATCTTCTATTTTTAAGCATGGAAATGGGTTTGAATATTAGGTAATGTGCGCCAATAATGTCAAATTATGACAATTCGCAGAAAACGTCAACTTTTTATTTAGATTTTAATGTGCAAAAGCCTTACTTTGGATATTGATCGTAGAAAAAATATATTTAGAATAATGAAACATTATTATTAAATAACAAGTTTTTTTATTGTCAAATTTAATACGTAATATTATTTTTTAATTGCAAATATTTGAATGTTAAAATTATAGCGTTTAATTTTTTTATTCAACGACGAACTCAAGAGTGATAGAAAAAAAATACTACCTACCTTTAATGCAGGAAGTCGATGTCAATTTATCCAAAAATAAAACTGATTAAAATGTACAATGAAACTCACTAGGACACTTGGCACAAATAAATCAATTTTCTATTAAAGAAAATAGCGCTTATTAAAAACAAACAGCACAATAAAACTAAATACCCGTAAGCTTGTTTGTAAATTTATAGACTCTTAACTCCTTCCCCCAGCCTTCATTAAGTATATTAAAAGTCGTGACGTCATATTGGCACAGATATACGGTAATGTGTTATTGACAATCAGGGAAATGTTTCTAGGTAATAACTACCTAAGATAAGATAAATGAATGTTAAATACCTACTCATAATATCTATTGTAGGGTTTTTGTACTTTAATAGGATAAATATTTATGCGGGCCTGGAAATTCCAGGAAATGACCGTCAAAATTACCCAAAAACATTAGGTTAGTACCAACATCAGATAACAGATAACTTCGGTATTTAACCAATTAATATTCTTGAACATTCAAATGACAAAAACTTCCATCTTTAACCAATGAGAATATAGTTTTCATTCGATACTTCAAAATCACAATTTATTAATTAGGTAGAATAGTTTTAAAATATATTGCGAATTGCGACACGTCAAGCGTCCCACTCCGACTCAATGTGACGCAATTATTGTGGCAATATATTTTGAAACGACTCTATATTCGTGACTTGAAATTATAAACATCCCTCGTATTACTACTCGTATATAATCCAAATTATTTGTTTTAGGAAATATTTATATTTAATGTGAGTCAAGATATCGTTTTTTTTGTTAACCATCGCATACCTACCTACATTCTTTACTTTGGTCCAGGAAACAAAGTCAATTTTCGATAAAAATAAAATGTAATAGGTAGGTAATACTTTATGAAACAGTACAATAAAAGTATTGAAATAAAGTATGCTCATACTCCAAAATGAGTCCTAGAGTTAACATTTTTATAATATTATAAATGGCATATAAAACGATTGGACCGTTTTAACAATTGCGAAATATTTTTTTTTATTTGGTAAAATCCCGGCAATTATTGAAAAATAGATTTTATGTTCAGGACTATTATTAGGATCCTTCGAACTCAGTCTACTAAAAACCGGTTTATAATACAATATTATACAATATCCCCTAATATCTAGTCGGTCGATATTTATAGTTACTTAAAGATTTCTGTAATAATTTGCACTAATTCAATCTCTAGTCGGTAGGTAACAGCACCTCCTTGATTGAATCTAAATTGACATAATTTTATTCAGAAATTTCTAGGAGACGCTGTCCCTTAACATTGCTTCACGTGCAGTTGGAGCTTTTATCCCCATAATGATTTGGTCTCTCAACGCTTTATTTTCGTGTGATTCGTTTGGATTGATATTGTAGTTACACGATTTTATCAGCTGCCACCATTCTGTTAGGAAATGTTCAAATGGCTCGCCTTCTTTTTGTATTCTTCTTAAGAAGTTATATCGTTCATACACTTCGTTCTCTCTGAAATTAACGTTTCAATGTTTTGTGTCATTGCTTGAAAAATGTTTCTATCCTGCTCAGGGATATTTACTGTTGTCATTACTCTGGCGGATTCAACGCCGATTATATTTCTTAATATTGACAACTTAACCCGGTCTCCTGCTTCATGCTCTCCCGTTGCTATAAGATAGTCATTAAATGTTGACTTCCAAAATTTCCAATCTTGTGCGACATTTTGGCTTTGTATCAAAATCTGAAGGCAATTTTCACTGCCAAACTAGCCATTATGGCTTATGTCGTCTATATAATACTTTTCTTCCAACCAAATTTATAGTTTCAAC